AACATACCGTTTTTCATTAATTATCATTAAATAATTCGTTTCACTGAAACTCAGCCCCAACAGCAACTTTTTAAACTCTCCATTAAGACAATAGATAAGACGTATTCTCTAACAGCATAAACTCCCTATTTCATTAATTAACCTCTTTAAGTAATTATTCCTTTACCGATTAAAATGTCCATTGAGGACATTTGAGCCTATTAAAAGGGGTAGAAACGTGGTCCGTGCTACATGTCTGTTTTCTTTATAGCTGGGCTATAGCTTAGCTAATTCTGGGAGCCTAGCTAGATGTTGGAGAATCTGCCATAGAAATTTCTGAGTCAGTCAGGCTTTACTAGCGTAGTAATCCGCTACATATGTATACGGATAAAAGTGCCACATTGAATCAATTTGAAATATAAATGTTTGGAGAAATAAGATTAAATATCATTGAATAATAAATAAATTTAAAAAGACCAATACTTTCAGCTTATGGAAATAAAACTTTACTCTAAATCAGCTCCATGTCTAGTTTTAGATGTATAGTTCGGACTGGTAAAATATTCTATATTTAGTTTAAATATATTAGCGCAAAAGATTTGCTTGAACGACGCATTTTTCCTGCTTTTTGGCTAGCATTTTTTATTGCAGAAAAGTAACACTAATAATATAATATTAACATTTGTGCAGTGTAATACCATTCCCATAGGCTTTAAGTCATTTTTTCCTGTGTTAAACATTACGCTTTTTTTTATGAACCTTTCTCACAATCTGCCCTTTTTTCTGGAGACTTCACGATGAGTGTAAGCGAAAATAATTTCTAAGGTGGAAGTGTCAATTACTACAAGGAATGTTGGCATGATAATATTTTTGCTTGGAAATATTAAGAGACCGTTTTGGTGTCTCAGAGAAGTAAAAAACAATCAATAATTAAGCTTTCCATCAAAGTATTCTAATTCCTGGGAATTTTCCACTGTAAATGATAAGTAAATTACACAGCTTTTAACAATAAATAGTGATGATATTAATTTTACTGAAATTTAATTAGCCTTCTGCATAAATTATTTTATTGTGGGCCGTTGTAAGGAAAGGCGAATTGTGGCTTAATCCTGCTCTTAATAATCAACTTGGGGGTTTGCAGTTAATTTTGGAGTTAGGACGATTATGAAGATTGTCTTAGCAAAAACATCGCCCATTTTCTGTTATTCGTTGCTGACACTTTAAATAAGTCTCGTCAGTTGATTAAGCTATCCCATTTTTCATTTTTTTTTCATCTTTTATTGGCTTAATGAAACTTCAGCACGCAATTACAATTATGGGTGGGAAACTAGCATTTTCACTCTTATTGTTCGCCCATTTATAGGGCATGAGGGAAATTAAGCCACTTTTTCCTCCTCCATCTCTGAGTCTGCAATCTCAATTCAATATTTGCTTTTATATTTGATATTCTAATAGCCAAAGTTATAAAAAGAGGTGAACATATTTTAGGTTTTAGTGTTTATAACTACGGAGTAACTGAGACGATCGAGTTTATGGCAAAGAAAGATGGTTCAAAATCGTTGTGACTTTCGTGCATATTTTAAGTATTAAATAATTTGATAATATATGTGTATATAACTAGCCATTGAGGTATAATAATGCACTTATATACATATATTTAATCAAAAGAACTTGTTAAAAACTTTATTATAAATATAACAGTATGCAAAAGTGAATTCATTCGGTATCAATTATATATATGAGGGTCAAAATGTATCGTTATAAAATTTGCTCGAAATTGGAGTCATTCATTCAAATTTTTAAAGCGTCTAGCGAGGTCTGTTTACAGCGAAAATGAAATTAATCGAGAGAGAGAACTCATGGAATTCGAATACTGGAATCTTTGCGATGATGCAATAGTTTATGTTCAGAGAGTAGGAGGCACTACCCAAAGTCCAGTTATCACATCTATAATACTTCGTGAAGTCTAATTATCACCTCCATTCGAACTTTAAACCTGTTGGAATACTTATAGCTTTGACCCAAGTGCTTTTCTTGATGGAGCTTGGTAAAAATTTATGGAGTTGTCATAGGTTATATTACATTTGTCTTCGTGAACAAATTATAACATATTAGCAAGAATCCAAAATGTGATAGCACTATAATGGACTAAATTCTAACGAAGATGAGCAGGCAACTAATCATATTCAAGGCAGTTCGAAAAGTAATCACAAGCAGTGTCTTTCTTTTTCTATAACTACTAGCTGGTTACTTAGCTGTCTGCACAAGTGACGTTTATCTGTTTGGAGATCTACAAATATATATTATTCAAATGACTAGAAGGCAACAGGCGTACAAAGAGAAGGAGAAGTGTCAAATGGGGGAGGAATTGACAATGTTACGTAGAATAAAGTTTAGGGTTATCTCGTACACCGGTACTTAATTTGTTTAACCCCTCTGCCTGCACTTTGTTCCCTTTGTTACTACACCCTCGATCTTGAAGTATACTCTGAAATGATTAATGAGCATTTCATTCATATCCCCTAAATGATATATCCGGAGCAAAATGTTGAACGTATCTGAATATAGTATGCTCTAATAATTTTACTAGCAACTCATTCATTTGGAAACATTAGCGCTTTGATTGTTGAATTTTTAAAGTAAGGAGGTAGGGAAAGGAGAGATTATGGAAAAACTAAGTAAGATTGGGTCTAAGCAAAATTGTCAAGGGTTGAAGAGTTAGCTTAAGGTAAGAGGTTGATTGACTTCACCAGTCAAGAATAATAGAAGATTGTCGAATATGTCTAAAATTGAATTGGACCACAATCATACCGTAATAAGGCCATTAATACTTTTCAAGGTCTCATGTTTAGTTTCATAACCATTTTTTTCCTTTAGTTCTTGTTCATTTATTTGCGTATATTGGTCGCCAACTCAGCTAAACTAATCCTCCCACCTTCACCCACAGTAGAAAAAATATATGTTTATATTTGAACCTTAAAAAATTTGCATAAAAGTTCAGCTTCATTTTACTTTCAATCCAAAGATGAATCCAGACGTTTGGAATGCCATCTCCTCTGAAGCGAAGGATTTAACGATGCGACTTCTCGATGTGGATCAAAATAGTCGCATGACTATTGAGGAAGCTCTGAGACATCCGTGGATTGCTCAAAAGTCCCGAGCTCCAAAAACACATCTTCATGAAACTGTAGAAGCTATGAAGCATTTCAATGCACGCAGAAGACTTAAAGTGAGCTATTATGATTAAATTATTTTTAAATTTAAACTGAAATACAAATTTAAAAACGTTGATCACACTTATTTACCTGACTTTAACACTTTTCAACACGAAAAGTAACTAAATGTTTCAGTTTTATATCAAATGTCAAGTACTGTTGTTTTCTTAATATTAAATTGTATGGTGGAAAAGTTTTACAAACTAAACCTACCCTAGGATACAGGAATTGCTTTAACATGCATTTAAATACTTAAAATGCTATTCAAAGTGGGGTAGACAGATATAAATGCTAAGCAATATTAGGGAACATTTTACTAGTAATCAAATGATTGAATTAATTTTTTCGTGCATTTTTTTTAATTATGCATATCTTCATTTTCACTGGTCACATTTGCATTAATTTTAATTAGACTGCTTTCCAGGGTTCTTGTGGTAACTGCGTCATTTGCTTTCATTTAATTTGATTCACAATTTATGTTAACTTCAGACGCATATATATTTGTTTTCATTTGCTGCTCTCTTCTCCCTAGGGAGCAATTTTAGCAGCCGTCTCGAGTACAAAGTGGGCCAGCTTCTATTCAGACATCAATGGAGCACGTGCAGGCGAATTTATCGAGGAAGATGATGAAGTCACTTCTGCTGGTAAATTTGGGCTCATAAGTTGTATGACAATGTTTGTCAGAATTGCCGAATTCCTAGAACTGGTCAATTTTAATGGTAGTTAGTGGTTCCTAAATGGCACGTCATTTTGTTATGAATAAGTTTCTAAGTGAAATAAATGGATTGCATGGGAACTAATTAATTTAATTTGAGCAACTGACTATCGCTCAATGGGCTATTTTTATTGTGCAAATGTGTTAAACTCACGGCTTCACAATCACTTGCTCCTTCTTGATCCTTTACTTTACGCGTCTCCCATAGTGTGCCTTCACCGTGATTAAAAGTTGTATAACCTTTAAATAAAGTGCTAATAGGGACAAAATTATTGTTAAAATATAATGCGTTTGGGTGACAAAAGATGCAGTTACATTCTATTAATGGTTTCGGTTGGTTAACGAAGGATTTTTTAAGAGACTTTACTAATAGAAAATCTGAGGAAAATGAGATAAGCTAAGTCAGTACTTTCATTCAATTAACACAATTGGATAATGATTTCACCACGAAGAAAGGCTCTGAGGTGAGAGCATTATTAATGGTAAGCTAATTAAATTGAGACACTGATGTTAATTTTCATCTTTATAAGCAAGAGCTACAACAAAATTGGAATAGAACTTTATTAGTCAAAAGTCATTTATTAATTATCTAAATACATGCAAATAGTTGTTCATGTTGAAAATTGGTATACTCACCTCCCACGCTTTCCACTCCATTTAAATGTCGCAAAAATATTCTCCATTACGACGCAGAAACAACGTTAAGGAGACTTACTGCTTCATAATTGTATTTTTTATCTAAGTTTAGTGATTTCCTTACTCATATTTTTAAAGTTTGCCATGATATTCCATCCCACTTTTCTCCTTCAACAAATCCACAATTTCCCACATGATTTAGCAGTTTCTTCCCCATGCTTAAATGTATATTGACAGAGCGTAGCTAACTATTAAAAGAAAATATAATTTCTCTCGTTAACACGCCATTTAAAAGGAAACGCGTAAAAGTTACTACTGGAGTTGATTTGACTCCCAACAGGGTTTTCTTTTTCTAATGGCATTCTTTTGGGGGAAAGTAGCACTTGATGAAAAAATCTCCAAATCATAAAACCCGCACGAACAATCATGGAATATTTTTCTACAATATCAATCCAAATAAGTCAACTTTGAATGCAACTTAAGTAAACATTGTAATAATTAAAAACCACTGGACTATGTGATAGTACGTCGGACGCCAAGAGTTGATGCATATTAGAAATAAATAAATTATATCCATGAAAGTAGGTCTTAACAATTTATGGCTGCTTGAGCAACTAAAAAACTTCTTATAAGGGTAAGTACAGAAGTATGTAGAGAGGGGAGATGGATAATTTTTCAACTTTTATTCTTCTCTTCCATGGATAGTAGATGTTAATATGTGGGGAATATAGGTTTGCTCCTCGTGTATTTGAGATTTACATTATTTTTGCTCATATAACAATATTTGCCAGTGTTGTTTTTAAAACTTAAATTCGAATTTACTATCTATTAACTGCAAATAAAAAAGAAAAACAATTTACCACAATATTAACGATGTCACTTTAAGCAAAATTAGGATTGCACAGGTTGTTTTATTCAACTGTGAAGTATACATTCGTTGTCATTTTGGCTACCAAGGCATAAGCATTTAACTGCCAAAGGCATTTTAAAATTCTTGCAAAATAGTTTTCAAGGAGTTCGTTTAAATGCACTTTTTTGGTAATTGCATTAGAATGGTCAAGGGTGTATAAAATAGCACATCAGTTAGGTTCGAATTGTGTGGGTAATTGCCCCAAAACACTACATTGTAGCAATTTAGTTACTTCAACAAGCCATCCTTCTCTTTCTAATATTGAATTACAATCGTTGTAAGTGAAAGGGGTTGCGAATAAAAAGGAAATAGGGGCTAAATGAGCAACTATTCTGTAATAAATGTGTAGTGGAGAGGGCTTATGGCATAGCCGTTTTGCACAAGTCTCTATGATGACAAGATTTTGTAAATTCACAATAATAAAGAGATTGGAGTTGCTGTGATTGCACCAGAAAGGGCTGGCATTACTTCCTTCTGATTGGCAATTGGCTAAATGATGTTTTATTTAAGATTATGTAAAAAAACAAGATTATTTTAAGGATGAATTTGTTGCAAGCTATCAAATCAATGATATACTTTTTCCTTCTTGTAGCCGTAAGTGCTATACTAGAAAGCTTGGAGGAAATGCTGTGCTTGACAGAAAGCGGTTCTGAAGCCGCAGAATGGAAAGAGTTGGCCTTTCAAGATCAACAACTATGTGATCTTCTTGAGGTTAGTTTCTAAAATTAGTTAGAGTTCTTACTATGCTTCCTCTGCGTTTCAACGCATAATCATTTATTCTTGTTTTTGAATAGCAAAATTGTGTGAAACAATTCGTTTTCATATACTTTAATTATCTAGCTTTTTTATTTTTTTTATTTTTGCCAACAATTTATTATTTTTTAGCTATACGACCTCATCAATAGCAATCCGCTCTCACCAAATGTCACTCTTCCTGATAACGCGACTGCGAAATCGCGCGATGTGAGCTCCGTTTGTGCATATTTTGCAAACATAGATGTATTTGTCATAAATTTACACGAAAAATTAAGATTAAAACAGAATTTTTTATTTATTATTTTTATATGCTTAAAAAGTTTTCATTCTATTGATTATATAGGTAATAGCAGAACTAAACACTTCAGTATCAGAAGAATATGTTCGAGATGTTGACGAACTAAGATATATTCTCACTCTTCCTCATTTCCGGGTGAGCAATTTTGTCCCCCCTTTTTTATTTGTAAAACAAATTTATTTGAATACACATTTTGGAATGTTCGTATCATTTAAATGTCTCTCCTATTAAATATTTTTCCTGAGGAACAAGTAATAAAAATAACACATCTGTCAATTCAGTTTCAGTAATTTTCTAGGCAGAGATATCAGATTAAAATCGTTGTCGGTTCTATATACTACTGATCGAGTGAACCGTTTCGATCTCGGCAAACCAAGTTCTAGAAAACCCTTGATGGATGATAAATTCGATTGGTCTATTGATTGGAGACCATCCATAGTATTAGTCCAAATAAATCTAATTTAACGGTTTCATTTTATTTATAAATTTTGCAATAAACTCTTCTTGAGTTACGACACAAAAAACAATTCAAATTTATAAACTTCAACTAGAGAAACATAACTCATTAATACGTTGCATGTTTAATTGATATCAATCGAAAAAAAAATTGTTCATGCTTTTCGATATACATTTACTGGGTTCTTTGTGATAGAAATAATCACAGACCTGAAGCCTTCAATTGTACATAATATCCTTAAGTTTTAGCTCAATAAACAGCTAAATTTAATGATTATGAGTCTTTATTTAACCGTCTATTTATATATGACAATGGGAAAGTTGAATAATTAAAAGTGAAATTATTTTTTGCTGCTTAATTCTTTATGTGAGTTGTCGTTGTGCAAAATGTCTGGTAATTTTACAAAATGTCTTGGATATTCTAGGTTAGCTGAAATAAAACACATTGGATTAAATATGATTTCGTCAAATAATTCTTTATTCATTACTTGTGCTACGAATTAGAATAGATTGACGGTCATTGATATTCAAAAATACCTTATTCTGCTCGAAGAAGTCTATCGAAAGTTTGAAGAATAATAAACAAAAACATTTTGAATAATATATAAAGCCTTAATGACAATTTCATCCATAAATGAGATGAAAGCGTCGTAGAACTCGTCTTTGTTTTGCAGAATCTTCCAAACAAATCTTACACATTTTCTGCACTTATTTATCCACAGCAGTTAAGACAAAAGAAGGAATTCGACCACCGCATTTCTTTGAAGAACTCGATCAAAGAGACCAGGAACACATAGCGAGGTGGTGGCACAAAACTAACGACGATTTTGAAATAACCAGAGAGCCTAGAATACGAATATCAAACTTAGGTTTTTTACTTGAATATTATGCTTACATTAGTACTTTGATTAGAACATTTTTATTCGCAAGATTCGGAACTTTAAATATTGAACAGGGGTCTGCAAAAAAGAGAGACATATGGATTTATCTTAGGAATGAAACCTCTCAATTAGGAATCAGAAATTTATCTACACTTCAGCATAATATTTTGTTGACTGCTTTAAATTTCTTTGTACTATAAAGCACATCACATTATTATGATGTTATTTAAAGAAAAATATTTTTTAGTACGTCGAATAAAATTTGGTCAATTTGCTAACTTTAGTTTAATATAGAATTACAATTGTAACGATTGACGCTTTTGTCATTTGGGGTATTTTCAAGATAATAATGCACTTATCATTTAGCATTCTCAGCCATTAAGCTTATCCTGTTACCGGAGTATTCGAGAAAACACCTTCACATAAAATATGATTTTCATAATTTAAGTTTCCTTGAAAAAAGTTATTATCACATTTTCCATTAATCGTACTATATATAGTCATTTTTTCCTATTTTAATTCAGTCATGAACTTTGTTTTCCTATTCTGTCGGCCTTAATATTCTTCAGAAAAACAGATCAAACACTTCTTTGCGCGAATGAACAGTCACACCCAATTAATTTTTATTTTAATTAAAATTAATAAAGTATGCCCATTAAGTGTAAAAAGTTATTCACTTTAAAATTGTGAATATATAAATATACATGCTAATTATTAAATTATTAATTGGATAAGGGAATATTTAAATGTTAAAACAAGCAGAATAGCTCATTACCTTCACCCTTTTTGGTTGTTTTCAGTCAATTAAAGATGTCTAACACCAATTACAAGCTAAACTTGTCAAAAGCATTTTTAACAACTATTTGACATAATAGTGTGTTTTTTTCCCATTTAACATTCAAAACTCAGCTTATTTTTTTAATAAAATATGCCCATTAGCTAGTATTCCGACACAATTAAATGAGATACATATGTGTAAAGCCTAGTATTCAAAAATAAAATAAAACGGCGTCTTTTCTTTCCACCGTTACTGTACCTTCAACTTGATAAACGTATCAGTAGGAACAAAAGCCAAATATAAAGTGTTAAATAGGCAATGTATAAATTTTTATGTGAAATAGGGCAGGGACACCTAAATTAGACGAACTGAGGCAGTAATTTAATAACCAAAATGAATTTGTCTTTAGCCTATCGTCTGTATCTTATCTGGTTCATTCATTTAACATTTTGATAAGTACTGTATATTCAATATACATTTTGCAGGCTTTATTACGAGCACGAGACGTAATCGCTCACGATGTTTATGGCGAAGGCGCAATTCGAGTGACACCACCTCCTACAACTACCCTTGGCTCTTCTACAGCAAACGGCGAAGAAGATGCTAAAGATTATGCCGACGGTGCTGCAGAAACTAGTCATCATGTGACTCGAGTGCGCCTCGTCCAATTCCAAAAGACTACTGATGAGCCCATGGTAAGGAATTTAATTTTTCCCGAATTTTCATTTATTTTCTATTGATCTTTCTTAAGCATATTAGATGTGTATATGTGATATCACTAACGTCTAGATTTTCTGGAGCACTAGTCTAGAAATATCGTATGATTCCAATATCTGAAAACGTACAACAATGGGGTTTGAAAGTGATCCTCAGGAAATAGTAGACTCACTGGAGAATTCAGGGAAGCTTTTTGGCATATGAAGGAGTATGCGTCCGAAATTGAATTGCATTAAGGGAAAAGAGATCAAAGCTTGTAGACCCTTCTGAAACAGTAATCGGGAAAGGTTTCAATGGATTTGATTAGGCCTTCAGAAGCAAATAGAATTACCACTTCTCAAAGGTAAAATTAACATGAAAGAACCATTTTAAGCATATTCTATCTTGAATAATATTTTACCATAAAACTTATTTGCTTTTTCGGGGTACACTTGAATGCTGCTCATGAGATTCACTAATACACTATTTTTTCGGAACAGTTTTGTTTAATTTTTTCCCTTTTGTTTTTTTCTGCGCCCGTATGATTGAAATTATTTCATTCGTTCTTCTTCGCAAAAGCGTAGTCCACCGAAGTTGGCATGAAGATGAGGCACAAAATAAATCGATTTGATTGGCTAGAGATGCTTTGGATTACTTCTGACATTGAACTAGTTACGGTAGATGGGAGGTTTTTTATCTCAGTGGCTCTTGATCGATGTTGTTCTTGTTATTGTTCAAATCAACATAATTCACTTGACTCTGAACGTTATTTCGGTGGTCCAAACCGAGTTTCAATAAATTTGAGCATGAATATACTTTATTTTTTAAAATAATTTTTAATTGTGGTAATGAAATCATAAAAAACGTGATCCGATGAGAATTAAAAGTCTGATGATGATTAATGAGCCTAACATGTTTATTTTGTACTTATAGCTTTAGATTTAAAGTAGAATTTATGGAAATAATACGGTTTGATTTAACTAAGTCAAAATAATTGATTTATAGCAAAGTTTAGCGATGGAATTTTTCAATAATTTTTTTTTATTTTTCGTATCATGTTCAAAATCAAGATCACATATAATAAAGGCATGAAATAAGATAGGTCCATTTTCATGGTCACCAATTTGAGCGACAAAATGAAAATTCAGTTGTTTGATGGTCATCATTTCAAGTGTCTGTCTTGATTTTATTGACAGTCGCTATTTTTGACCTATAATATTCCGTTTTAAACTTTAAAAGAATTTAAATGCCTTTCTTTTTCTCTTTTTCCGTCTGCCTCTCAATAGGGAATCACACTGAAACTGAATGAGGAGGAAAAATGCATCGTTGCGAGAATAATGCATGGCGGAATGATTCACAGACAAGGTAAGCACTTGATCTTCTCTTAGGTTGAATATGATGCTGTAGCCTGCACAACAGTATATACTGACAACATCCGTTTGGCTTACTTTGCTAAAAGGCCATGAAATTAGTAGTAATAGAGGTTTCGCAAATGCTGATTAATAATCAAAATAATAATATAATCCAATTATGCAATTATTAAAAACAAACAATTGAAGAAAATGGAATCAGTTCTCTCGATCTGCATGTTTTTTTCTAAATTTAAAAAAACCCAATTCCATAATTGTACCTTTCTGAATTTAAGGCTCATTTTTAACGCTTCCACTACCTTCAAACGTATTTGATTGACATCCTTTCTTAAATATATTTTTGGCGCAAAAGCAAACCTTTCAGGGATGGAAAAACTTATGCTCTGACATTGCGTGTTTTTAAAAAAACGCCTCGGAATTTTAGGAGATAAACAACATAGAATATTGCAGAAAAAAGCCTTTTTAGTTTAGGAAGAACTTCATAAATTTTATCGGTTTTAGTTGAGTGTATTTATTACCTAGCCTTCATTAATTATTAATGTATTAATTATTAAGAACACTGTTTTTTTTAATTTTGTTTTTTTAGGTACCTTGCATGTGGGAGATGAACTTCGTGAAATAAACTCCGAGCCAGTTTATGGGAAATCCGTAGAATATCTTCAACGTAAATTGGTAAGCTATAATTTAAACAAATAACTTAGTAGGTGCTATTTTAACTAATAAAATAATTTTAAATATTATTTTTTCGACAGCGAGAAGCTCGTGGAAGCGTGACGCTTAAAATAGTTCCCAGTTATCGTACCAATCCAATTCAATGCGAGGTGAGACTTTCACATACTGTAGAGCTTATTCTTTTGGGTTATGAATATTTTACACTAATATTAGCGTATACAAAATTACTTTAGCTTGAGCCGGGTTCCCACGAGATTGATTGGTAATGGTTTATGAATATTTATGTTTTCTGGATAGACAAGGTGCTTGCAATAACTTTTATCGAATAAGATTTGGCTGTTTATTTTGTCAGATGTGGTGAAGGTATTCACGCACAGTACACTTTCTCTAGAAACTTAAACCTCTCTAATTCATATTTGCAATAACAAAAGGAAGGAATGATGTTTGGAACCCAGCTGAATAATGGTAGCGATTGATTTATATTTTAATGATATGTGACGGTTTCAATTCGATGTTCCTTCAACTCTATGAAAAAAAGTCGACGAACTGGAGATTATGAGGTAGTTGTGGCTGAAAGAAAGAAACGTAACATACTATTTGATTTTAACGTACTCACACACTGCATAATTCCTGGAAAGTTGTCTGCAGGAAAAGACACTGGTTGGTGCTACCGGGGTTTCCCGAAAATCTGCTCAAGGTGGTTGAACGCCAAATTTAATTTCATGAAACAGTTTTTTGAAGCCAAATAACCGTCCACCGGAATAAGCGCTAATGGGCTATAATATAGAAGCAAAATATTTCACTTAAGAAGAATATATATTTGCTTCTGTGTCTAGTGTGCGCGTACTATGCTTTCAGAATGACACACCCCGTATGGGGAGAGCCGAGCTTCAGTCCCAAATAGGGAAAAGCTGTAAGACTGCAATTTAACTTTTAACCCTAAATAACCGCCCATCTGAAAAGGTAAAACCAGATGGAAAAACACAACTCTTAGAATAAGAAATAGTTCGGTCTGTATTCATTTCAAAGGACGATGGTCAGGTCATACAAATTTAATTTCCACAAATTGTCGTGGCTTACGGATGTATTTTCCTTCGAAATTATTTTTAGCAAAGCCCCTCTTCTACTTTTGTGAAGATGGACTTAGATCGAATTCAGACCATAAGTATGGTACCAGGAGGTTGCCGTCCACACCCCAGAAAAATGTTCAAAGTGGTTGCCAGACAATTTTTGCGACTTTATCAGACCCAACGTACTTTTGTCCTCAGAACTCCCCCTCCCTCCTCCACCCTTAGATCTTAGCCCGATGAACTACTCAGTGTATATTTGGCGCTGAGGCAAAAGTAACCATAGATGCGCAGGTAATGGTCTGAATGAAAGTAGGTTCGGGATATTTCTAAAGTGAATTATTAAATGTTCCCATTTTATTTTCCGGGTCTAGGGAAGAGTGAGACTGTTATAGACTGTGGCAATTTTTTTGAGTAAAACTCTTTCACAATATAGTAATTTCTTTGTATATTGAACCTCTTTTAAATCTACTCATTTTGCGGTTACCAACCATAATTTTTTCCAGGGAGACTGGAAATGATATCACGAATAACGCATTATGTCCCGTATTCAGTACTCCAATATTACCAATTTATGAAAATGCCTTGTGTAGATAAAGGTGATCAAGTTTGCCTCCCTTATTGTCCTGGGACTTCTAAAAGTTATTCAACTCGCTAAGGTATTACAATTCGTCGAATTAGCTTAAAGTAACACCCAATTTAAACTATATAAAACTTTAGAGCATGTTGATTTAAACTGGCATCCTAAAAATATCTGTGACGTTTGAGTACTGTGTACAAAACACAGACGTAGTGCTTCTTGACCAGAGCTTGAATTTGTTTGTGACAAATGGGGTGAGCTTGGTGACAGGAAGATGCTCTCAATAATACTTTTTAGTAAAGTAAGATTACATTGACCTGGATAGGTCACTTAAACTAGAGTTTAATCCTAAAATTCTTATTTAAAATCTTTATTTGAAATTTCTTCGACAGTTTCAGAACTTCGTACGAAAGTTTTCCCTTAGTAAAAGTTCAAGCTCAACATTTTGATGTGTATATCCGAAACTATGATCCTGTACTTTGGCACCTGTCATCGTAGACATGGTAACCTGCTAAGCTACTTCCATTCTGAGGGTAATTTTAGCTGATAAATTCTTCATATGTTATGTTATTTACTAAAGCGAACGAACTTAGTCGAACACTTTAGACTCTTAGCTATTGGAATTTAAAATTGCCTTTCTGTATTTTTTAAGAAAACTATTTATATTTATATCAAATGACAGGCGTTTTGATGGTTCACATTAGCTCTTTAGTTGACTTCAGGCTTCACAGAGGGGAAGGAACATCAAAGTGAAAAAAGTCGAGAGAGGGGAACAGAAGCGTGTTTCAAAGACGAAGGAAGAAAATTTAGAAAAAAATTGATGTGAGGACTGTGGAAATAGTCGAATATGACATACAGTGGGGTCAGAAGTCAACTGCCGGTTTATAGATTATTTTGCCGTATGAGTATACGTTGCCCAGGGTGCCCCACGTGGAGGTAAGTCTATCGTACACCCCTTTTTTAAGAAAACTAGTTTCATCTTTGTTGAATTGGT